TGCTGAGTCTGTTGTAATTTCACCCTTTTCATTCCTAATTGCATGGATTTGGGCCTTTTCTTTCCTTTTTCTGACAAAGTTGGCTAAGGGTTTGTTAATTTTGTTGATTCTTTCAAAAAACCAACTCTTGGCTTCATTGATTTTTTTTGTATCTTTCTCTTAGTCTCCATTGCATTAATTAAGAAATTATTTCTGATTTCATTTTTTCCAGGTCCCCCTTTTGTTGCCAGTTCAGTGGTTCCAGGTTGTTGAGTATCAGAGTGTTCCATCTCATTTCCCTTTGAGGTTGCTGTAGGTGATCTGGAAGTCTGGTTTTGAGACTTATTTACATGTCTTCTCATTTCAACTGGGGGGGCAGGGGGTGCTGTTGGCATGCACCTGACTCATATCCTCTGATCTGGGAGAGGTGGGACAGGGGCCGGTAGCTGTGGGAGGGATGGTGGCCTGGAAGCCCCTTCCTCTGGACCAGGAGCAGTGGGACAGACGGCAGCCCCAAAGCCCTTTCCTCTGGGCCGGGAGCAGCAGGAGAGATGGCAGCTCAAAATCTCTTTCCTCTGGGCCAGGAGTGGTGGGACAGATGGTGGCCTAAAAGCCCTTTCCTTTGGGCCAGGAGTGGCTGGAGGGATGGTGGCTGGGAAGCCCCTTCCTCTGGGCTGGGAGTGGCAGGCTGGATGGTGGCCCAGAAGCCCCTTCCTCTGGACCAGGAGCAATGGGACGGCAGCTCAGAAGCCCCTACCTGTGGGCCGGGAGTGGTGGGAAGGATGGCGGCCTAGAAGCCCCTTCCTCTGGGCTGGGAATGGTGGAACAGATGGCAGCCCAAAAGCCCTTTCCTCTGGGCTGGGAGTGGTGGGACCTGATTTTCATAAATTAATAGAGGAAAATATCACTGGCATCTAAACTAATATGGTTTTGTATTTGAAACTGCACAGAAGATTAAATTGTCAACTAGCAAAAGAATGATTTAAAAGCCCTCCTTCCCCCTTTTTATATTCCCTGATAAATCATGTGACAAGATGTCACCAAAGTGGCTCTGTTTAAAAGAGCAGTATTGGTATAGACACAGAAGCATGAGGCTCAGGGACGACCATTAGCCAGTGTGACAGCTTTTCACATAGTAAGCAGATCTGTTTCTAATGACTCCTAATTGTGTGTGACAGGCTGATAGGAGGTTTATAAATGGAAAAAGTGAAATTTACTGGTCTCTTTTTAATATATTTGAACAACATTCCTGCTTACATAAAGAATAGGAAAGGAGAAATAAAAGGAATAATTGGAAGAATAAAGTACTCTGGAACATCATATAATAACGTGTCCTGAAGTTATGGAGAAAGACTAACTGCGAATGAAGCAGCAGCCCTCCATTCAAGACCCAAGATGATGGAGAAGTGGGAATGATTATTTCCAATATTAGGATCTAATTTCTTTCTCATTAGAAAGAAAACCATAAAATTACAACAGTTAACAAATTAAAATGCAATGTCCAGAACGATGATGTTATAGAATGTGTCAAATGTCACCAAAAAAGTATTTGGCAACAGCAGATGTGACTGGGGTGAGGAGGTGGGTGTTGTTTGTTGTCAACAGATCCAAGTGGCAGCACTTAAATGTGGTAGTCTAAGTACCTGCAGTGTTACAGTCTCAGCCACTCCAACTCATCAGTGCTTCAGATACTTAGACTTATGGATACTGAGTCCCACAAACTAAGCTCACAAGTGGCTGTGATACATAAATCATAATGATACTTTAATAATTTCAGTTAATAACATAACCCTCATGAAGACCAGGTTATTCTTTTTAACTGGAAGAGACTATTTTCTTGATACAAAGAAAAAAATGAAACATCAAGGTTGTTTCATGAGCATGAGAGTTAACTACGGATTGAGATTTTGATTTCATTGGAAATTGAGAAAACAGTGCATCATACTCACAACAAGGAATAACTGCACAATGGGTTCCTTCTTGCCATGAAGATGTGCTTTAGAACACTACTGTTGTCATTGGTGTTTTTCTTTGGTGACTCTTTTTTGGCTGTATTCTGTTTCTGCCCACTACCTTAGTTTTCTGAAGTGTGTATTCTTTACTTAGAAATGACAAGAATACCAAGAGGGTTTTATTACTGTTATGAGTAGTCTGTTTCCAGAAGCAGGTTCTTGGGTGCAGAGATAGTAGAAATCAGACCAGACCCAGGGTAATACAGACTCAGGCAAGTCTTCTTATTGGGACTTCTGCTCCACTGGAAGGAAGTCTCAGCTCTGACAGGGGCAGAGAAGGCCCTCAGTTCTCTGAACAAAGGAAAAGGAGAGAAAATAAGGGGGGAAAAAGCCCCCAAAACTTTCCATTCACCTCCTCCATGCAAAATAAGGAATTTCAACTTCCAGAGAGCATGGTGTCCTGACTGGTCAGTGTGTGAGGTCCACTGTAGGCAGAACATTAGTCAGGGAAAGGCAGGTGTTCAGAAGACTGAGCCTTGCTTGCATCTGTGTAGGTAGGATGTGCTTGTGGTTACTTTATTTCTAATTCCAGGGTTGTGTGTGAGACTCAGGTCCCCATTTATGTCCTTGCTAGGTTCTTCTGTGAAAACAAGCATGATCCCTAAAGGGCTCCTTCCCAGCATTTAAGGGTCTTAGTCCCTTTTGGGTGGTCCTAAGCCTGTTCCAAGGCCATTTTCATTTCTCCAAAGTCCAGTGAGCCCTTTGTATCCACAGGGTGTGCATGAATAAATTCAACCAAATGTGGACCAAACATAATGGAAAAAAATTGCATCTGTACTGAGCATGTACAGACTTTTTCTTATTACATCCCTTAATCAATGAAGCATAACAACCATTCACATAGCATTTACAGTGTATTAGTTATTATAAATAAGTTACAGACTATTTAAAGTTTGTATATAGGAGGATGTGTGTACATCCTAAGCAAACTGCACCATTTTTATCAGTCTTGAGCACGAACAGAATCAAGTGTCTGCAGGGGTAAAGGTGGGGATCTGAAACCAATGCCCATGGATGCCAAGTGATGACTGTATCCTGAGAACCATTGTTGGCTTGTAGAGACTCAGCCCTGTGTAGCTTGCAGTCTAATTTGCAAGACAGTATATGGTTCTACCATGTGCAGGATGGGGGGTTCTGACATATTTAAGATAAAAATTAACTAACTTATTCCATTACCGCTAAAGTCAATCACGGAAAGTGGAGAAAGATAATTAAGGGGCTTTTTGAAGAGGAGCAAAAGATTGATGCCTCTGTGTTTGATCTCTAACTTGTATCCACCTTCAAGGACCAGAGGACTCACTAAGGACTGTACATGTGATTAGTGGTCACCAAGATGGACTGCATCTTTTTCAATTAAGTGTTATCATCTTTTTACTCCTTCCATTCATAAATCATTCATTACTTAGATTTCTTTCTCCAGCAAAAGTCAAAATGCATAGAGGTAATCTGGTCCCTCTAAACTGTTTGCAATATATTTAAGATGGAAAGCAAATAGTTTTACATGACATTATTCTAATCATCACATATGGAACTTGCTGTATTGAGGTTTGTGTGTAACTCCCATGGTATCATTTTTACATGTGTATGAAAACAAGAACAAACCACTTTGGGGGAGAAGCCTGTCAAGTTCAATCTTATTTCATGTTTGGAGTTATGTCTCACTCAGGGAATATGAACTTACTCAACAGGGCTGTTTCTCTGTAAAGAAAGCTTCACAAGAAATCACATCATAAAAATGCAAACTTTATGAATAAAATTAAAGTCAATCATCCTTGGAAGACATGACTTGACCTGTATACTAATCAGAACAAGTATGGAAAATGGAGATTGAAGTGAATGGCATGGACATTTTCCATCATGCAGGTCAGCAGTGGCTATGTACCTCACCACCCAGTGGTAGGTGCTGAAATTCATCCATCTGAACAGCATCACATCGTTTAACAATGACCAGAGTAGCTATGCAATGCTGTTCAAACAAAGTATTTAGAGATGATCCTGGGGCCAGTTGTCCTACCAAAATAACAATGAAAATTACTTACTGAGCATTTAAATTACGTGTCATTCAGCATAGCAGAAGAAAGCAGAAAGCACGCTTTGGCTGGAAAATTTGAGCAGGATTTAATAAGCAGGAGCATTTCAATGAGGGAACACAGGCTGTGTGTGTGTGTGTGTGTGTGTGTGTGTGTGTGTGTGTGAGAGAGAGAGAGAGAGAGAGAGAGAGAGAGAGAGAGAGAGAGAGAGATAGAGAGAAAGTACCTGAAAGGTAGCAGAAGTGGAGCCCTTCACTATTAGTAGGTGTGAGAAGCCAAGGACCTAGAGAAAGAGAGAGACAGGTGAAGTCAGGTGAGTGGGCCCCCTACTTAAGGTGACACTCTCAGAATCTTTTTCTGTCACTTGCTCCTCCATGTCACCCCCATTGAATGTCACAGCCTCTGAAGATATTAATTTCCTTGTAGCCTTGGTTCCTTACATCTTCAATTGCCTTAAGGTAGAAAGCAGAAAGACTGATGGAGGAAGCCTGCTTTTGCTCTAGAGTGCCACCACAGGGCTCCCTCATCAGAAATGCTTCTGAAAGCAAAGGCTGAACTGAGATGGCTCTGTACCATCCGGCCAACCCTTCCACATGGAAGTCCTCAGGCACACGCAATGGCATCTTCCTCCTCATTTGTTTGCTCTCACTTTGACTCCCCCACCACATCCCAAGCCCTGGAAGAGCTGTATCACCGCAGAGACAGACTTAAGCACAAAACCACAGCATGCGTTTGGATTTCTACTTTTGTTTTAATAGCAGTCATTGGAAATCTTATCTTACAATCTGGTGTCTCTATCATTTTTCACAAAATATACACTTGTTCTTGGTTTCCCTGAGAATTTCTCCAGGTTTGCTGTGAATATCAGACTCTACAGATGCTGACATTCCTTATATAAAATGCCATAGTGTTTTCATATAGTTTATATACAGCCTATAAATTACACCATGTTTAGATTGCTTAAAATATGTGACATAATGTGCTATGTAAATGACTGTTATACTATAGAGATTAAGGAAGAATGATGAAAAAAATGTCTATATATTTTCAGTATACTTGCAATTTTCTTTGTGGTGGTACTGTGGCTTAAACTTTTGCACTGAGCTATACCCCATCCTCTTTTTATTTATTTATTCTTTATTTTGAAACAGGGTGTTGCTAAATTGCTAAGTTGCCCAGATTGGGCTCAAAATTGTGATCCTCCTGCCTCAGCCCCAAAGAGTGCTGGTATTATAGGCATGCGCCCACATGGTGGCTAACATGCTATGTTTGAAAAGTATTCAACCATGCTGGTTGAATCCACAAAACTCTCAAATATGAAGGGCTACCCATATTTGAAATTTCCTTTTGTATTTCAGCTGTAAGAAGTCTCCCCTGATTTGGGAAATATGGGAAAGAAGGGGATCAAAAATAGCAGGACATAAGAGCAAAAGCATAAGTTACTGTTTCAGAATACTGCTGCTTCTCATATGTATGAAGGGTGAAACTCACCCCTTGCTGGAGGCACTCAGTCTTGCTTGAGCCCTGCTTCCTGAAGAGGACAATGAGCTCCCGGGGTCAGTCTGTCCTCCTCCCTTCTCCACCCACTCCGAGGAAGGTGCTGCCTGGCAAGACCGACCCTCAGGATACTGCAGTGGAGAATGGAGAGGAAAAGGAGAAAAGAGGCTCCCAGAAAAAGGGCAAGTGAAAAGAAGGAAAGTGGGAAAAGCTGGGACATGTAAACAAGTACTCCTAAAAGCAATGGAGCCTTTTGCAGTATTCAAGAAATGTATTTAAAGGACCTGATTGCCTTTTTTGGTTTTGTTTTCAGTCTTTTAAAACAGGGTCTTGCTATGTCTAGCTGTGGACTCACTATGTAGCCCAGGCTGGCCTTAAACTTGCACCAATCCTGCCTCAGCTTCCTTGGTGCTGGTATTACAGGTGTGTGCTACCACACCTGGCTTAAATTGCTTTTGATCATCTGGATCATGTTCTTTTGACAGCAGCTTCACTGTGGGACTGAACCTCATGAATGGTGTCATGTAAACCTTCTTTATCTCTGTATTTATCTCTTTTCTTACTTCTTTTCTATCCTTCTTCATCTCTTTCCCATTTCCCTCCCAGACTGCTGTTTTTAAATGAGTTTTCATAGATCTATAGACTACAAGGACAGGGATATTATCCAAACCACAAATTTAGACCTTGGTGATGAAAAGAAAAGTATTATCTTAGGTTCTTCATCTTAAAATGTTGGTTTTTGAGTGTCGTATATGCTATGTTATAATTATATATAAACCTCCTAAGCAATGTTGCTAATCTTCTTGATCCCACCTCATTCCCTCTCCCATGAAGCCTTACACTCTGTGGCCTTCCCTTGTCCTAAATTTGCACACAGCCCAAGCCAAGGCTTGGGCAGCATCAACAGCCCTTCTTCAATTATGTGCCTACTTTATAATTTATGGACAAGTCCTAGGATTTCCATAGCAAATCACCACAAACCACGTGACTCAGAACAATAGGAACTTAATCCTCCACAGTTCTGTGAGCCAACAGTGTGAAATCAAGGCATCTTCAGGGCTGTGCTCCTTCTGGTGGTTTAAGAATGAATCCTTCCCTCCCTTTTCCTGGCTTCTGATGATTGCCAGCTATCCTCATTATCTCTTGGTAAGCTGCATTATTTCCAATTTCTGTGTCTGTCCTTATCAGAACTTCTTTTCTCTGTGTGTGTCTTCTCAGTATGTCTCATCTTATAGAGATACCAATAATTGGATTTATGGTCCACCATATCTAGTTATGACCCAAGTTTAACTAACTGCATCTGCAAAAACCCTATTTTCAGATAAGATCACATTCTAAAGTTCAAAGTGCACATGAACTGGGGAGACAGGTACATTATGGAACCCAATACATAATTTTATGCCATGTCACAAGCACTTCCTTTCTTCTTTACCCACAAACACTGCACCAGCCCTAGACTGCCACTTCTATTGCATATGTGGCCAGGTGCAGACATGAGTTAGGCTTGCAGACTGCCTCTCTGAGTCCTGCTGTTAAAATGCAATGAGTGGCTTTCCATTTCCTCTAACACTTCCACTCTATCCCTCCAGAAAGGCATTCATTCGAAGGGCAGAGGGCATGTATTATGTCATGGTGCTGCAACACTTTGACTTGGTGCAGTAATGGGGTTAAAACCCCAGGGAGGAGCCAGCTACCCAGTCAGAGCACATCAACTTTAAGGCATAATCCACTTTGCCTTTTTACAAAACACCTCAGAGAACATAGACATGTTTGACAATGACTTAAACATTTCTGAATACCAATAGAGGAAGAGCCAAGTTCTTAGAGTCAATTTGACTTGTTGGTATCTTTCTCTGTTTATTTCCTGCCATTGATTCAGATGTATGGAAGTAGACTGAATTTCAAAGCAAACATAGGAAAGTAATGTCCAGCAAACGGCAAAAAAAAAAGGATCTCTTGCTAGATAGAATCCTGAATTGAAGAATGCAAATAAATCAAAGCTCCTTAAAATTAATTCACATTCTGGCTGGGGATTTAGCTCAGTAGTTCTGCTGCCTTCCCCACAAGAGCAAGGACCTGAGTTTGATCTTCCTTGGTACCAAAAAAAAAAAAATTAATTCACAGGTCAAAATAGAAGAATAATGCCTGTAGCATTTATTTATGTACATTGATCCACTCCCTCTATCTATGAGTGTGGCTGGAAGAGTCCAGCTGCTGAGAGGGGTTCCTTGACTGTATCATTATATATTGATAGACCCATATCGATAGACCTATATCGATAGACTGTATCATTATATCGATAGACCTATGTTGACAGTACATTGTGCCAACGCTGCCTTGACAATCCACTGGGAAGATTGGGATGCCCATGGAAATCTCAGGTGGGTAGTAACTTAAGGAGTAGTCCCATCAGTTTAAGGCAGGGATTGCAAATATAATATCTCCCAGGGATGAAGCAAGTAGCATGTATAAAAGAGGGAGGCAGTGTGAAGACTGTTAATCTTGGGCCCCTGATGATAAGAGAAGTCATTATTTCTTTTCAGTGAGAGTCACTCCATTAGAATGTGAGTAGGGATATCAACAGAGCCAGAATATTAAAGAATATTAAAATTCCTTAAAGAGAGCCAGGGATTTAGCTCAGTGGTGCCACCCCCTGCCTAGCAAGTGCAAGGTCCTGAGTTCAATTCCCGGAACTAAAAAAATGTCTTTAAAGAAAAATATCCCAACTTTCATATAAAATTCCTATATTTCAAAATGTAGACAACTGATTAAAATTATTTTAAAATATTTTTCAGATAAAATGACAATAATAATAATAATCCATAAAATCTGGCTTCTACAACCACCTATTGACTTAAAATTTCTGTCTCAAGTTGCACGGAAAATGCTGAATTAGCCTGCTGCAGACAGACAGGTCTGCGGACGCAGCCCCGAGGTCACCAGTCATGCTGAAAACACCAAATCAGCACCCTGAAGATAGGCAGGTCTGCGAACATGGTCCCGAGGTTGCCAGTCGCACTGAAAACACCAAATCAGCCCAAGCCCCAGCAGCAATCCACTGGAAACATCCCCCCCCCCCACTCCTTTGACCTCTTCACTGTACAGCCACCTGGTTCCACACTGCAAAGATGCAGAGGACACTGGACCACCAGACCACTGTACTGGAGCTAATCAAGTTCTCAGCATTTGAAGAATTCCTGCCCAGAGGTAGGGGCTTCTGAGCCGGAGTCCCACTGCTCCTGGTCCAGAGGAAGAGGATTCCGGGCTGCCAAACATCCCACCACTCCCAGCCCAGAGAAAGGGGCTTTTGGACCACCATCCTTACTGCCTCTCCTGGCCCCTGTCCCAACTCTCCCAGCTCAGAGGAGGTGAGCCACATGGATGCCAACAGCACTCCACCTGCCCCGCCCCCCAGTCGAAATGAGAAAACATGTAAATAAGTCTCAAAACCAGACATCCAGATTACCTACAACAACCCCAAAG